ATGAATGAATGACTACACTAAAAAAAAAGAATTAGACTTATATCAAATAAAACTTACGATTCGATACAACTTTGAGTACACCCAAATGGAGGATTATAAGCAATTGTCATATTGCCATGAATATTTTAGATTTGAATGATACATCAGTAATAATCAAATGGTACTTCAGTAATCACTTAAAGGAAGGCATTACTTACCGTTGTAAACTTAGAGTGTTTTGCTGTCTTTATATCTTGTTGCCATCACTTGATTTGGTATACGTTTTGCATTAGTTGGCTATATACGCCTAAAGCACCGTGAGCCTTCTCTCGATGGACCCTTCCACCGTCAAGTGTCTTACCTCCATCAACGTCACGTCCAACTGGACCATCATCAGGTCGGGGATAATCTTAGCGTTACTTTCAATCCCCGTACCGGATACTTCCACCAATACCTTCATCTTAAACAAATTGCGCCAGCAATTGCGACACACTTCGATCAGCCACACACGCTGCGCCACCTGGAACTGAGCCAGAATCATCAGCTCCAATCGCAGATTGGTACCACCAACGGCTGCCTGAGTGTTATGGTCGTCAATCATCAATTTATACTCTTTATACGCCGAATTAAAGTTGACCACGCCTTCCAGGTTTCGCTTTTCAGCGTCACGACAGGCGGCAATCACAAGGTGGAGCTCTAGCGGCAGTAAGCTAGCAATCTGCTGGCTGATGGTATTATACGGGTGGTGGTTCATCACGAGACGAATCAAGTCCAGATCACGTGGTAATGGGTCTTCGGGAGTAATGCGAGTCACCGCCGTAACCAAGTGCTGGTTGACCTGTTTGAAGCTCTTGGTGGTGGCATAGACGTCAAAGATGATTCTCGTTAGAGTAGTATTCTCTTCATAGGCTTTATCGACCCACTGGTTCCATATTTGTGCGTATTTGGGGTTATCCAATTGAGCCGCCACACTCTCGGGGACACGTAAGCCGGGACGTAAATCTTGCCAAAACTGTTCTTTAGTACGAGAATGGTTAACTGCCAATACCCGTTGACTGAAACGGGAGAGTACCCGTTTCTCCAATAACTCTCTCAGCGTGATTCTCGGAGTAATACCAATAATACACATCGGATTCTTCAGCGTTTGCGCCACTTCAAACAAATTATATAGGAGTGTTTGTTGTGACAGTGAAAGGGCAAGTTTATCGAACTCGTCGATGATGAAAATCACTGCGAGACGGTCTTTATTACCACTCTCTAACGTTTGCAACACATTGTTAAACGTATCGTTGATCAGTCTCGTTTCAAACACTTTAGCATCACTCGAAACGTTCTCATCTGATTGTCGCCAAGCAGCATCCATCGTTCGAGCAATCTCTCGGAGGGCAACGTGGTCGGCATTATGGATAAAACAGTTCAAGTAAATTGGGAGAAATTGGTCGGGGTAGTCCCGATTGATTTGGTCCAATGCCCGATTGACCATCGCCGTCTTACCCGAGCCACGAGGACCTACTAGAAGAACAGAGTGTCCCTCATGGTCGCGCACGGTATTGGTGATCATCGTGTGGAGCTGTTTATAGGTCAGTCCAAGCAGCAGTTGTTCGAGCCAGTGGAAGTCGCCCATCAACTGACGTGTCACTTGTTCTCTGACTAAGTCGGCATCGTGGACACTGACTAAGGGCTCGCCCCGGGTCTTTTTCAGAGGCAGCGGGTCTGAAGGTGTTGGTGGCGATGATCGTTTGGGAGGGGAGCTGCTGGCGCTGCGCAACTGGTCGAGGAACGCGTTTTGCGAGGTATTTTCATCGAGCTTATTCAATTGGTCTTGGTGGTTGTTAGGTTCGGGGGTACCGCTTAGCTCCCGCGTGAACCCATGGCGGTCCATTGTTCGTTGTGCGCGACCAACAAACCATTTGTGTCCCCCGTGCGAACTTGGCACGGGAAAAAAAGACAGAGCAGCAAGAAACTCACTACCGCGAAAAAATGGCTACAGTGAAACTTGTGGGTGAAAAATAGAGGATCAACGAATTTTCAACACAGACTCGCTAACACTAATATAAATGGAGACAGGGTCAGAGCTATGTTCAGGTTACATGACAGAGCACTAGTTCATCAAAACTTTGTATCATGCATCCAATTCATTCTTGTCTACTTTTTAAAGCTATTTTAATCTTTAGAGAACACGAAACCGTCTCATAAAATACAACGGAATTTCCCACCTAAATGGGATAGGAGTGTACTGTGATTATGAAACGATCGAAAATGGTACCAAACCATTGTAAATCATGAGTAGTCTGTTGAGATAGGCTAAATCATGACATGCTTGTGTGCCTCGGATGGGCTGGTGGTCACTATTGCCAATTTGGGCGGTGGCAATGGACCACCAAAAATAGAGCTGCTTTAGGGTTGACGTAAGGCGTAGTCCCATATTTCCCTCGGGTGTACACTTGCGATAACATAAGCGGATGAATGTATCGGCACGGGAATGTGGGGCCTATCCGATGCAGGGAATATTTGCCACCACAGCCGTGGATAAACCACCGTTGGTGATGCCAGTGTCACAAAGATGAAACCCGATGACACGTTTCATGTTTACACGGTTACAAGCGTGTTTCAGTTACCCAACTGGTCCCTGTTACATCGTAAATGGCACGTTCATGCCGTGTAAGTGACGCTGGTCGTGGTGGGAAGAGCTTTAGATGTACTTCGCGAGCTAAATCCGAACCACCTACCCCTGCATATCCCCCAGCATCGATACGATGAAATTCGCAATCAATTGCATGAAAATTCCGATAATTCATCGTCAGAAAGTCGGGAAGTAGTAGTCAATCACCAATTGAGTAAAATAGGTCTCAAACATATAAGATTTAGACTTCATCGACCCCCCCGATTTAGCTCATCGCCAGGTGGTTGCGAGAATCGCCGCATGCATGGTCAGGCCACCGAGTGTCAGGTACCGCGTCTATACGGACACTACCTACAGACGCACTAAAATTTTTGCGTGCCGCCTTCCCCATGGCTATAAAACCACGGAGCGGCTGCGAAAAGTGTCTGGCCCACATCTCAGTTTTTCCCCCACCGGATATATGGATCAGGACAAAATTCTGGGCGCCAAGCTCTTCGAGATCTTCCTGATCATGGTGATGACGCTCAACTTACAGGCCTCCGGCGGCCGCATCCGACTCGGATCGCGCCGGGTCAGCTACGGGTTTACCACGTCGCAGGCGTTGCAAGCGCTAGGCAATATGGCGATGAAAGTGACCACTACTAATATTTCAACCACTCTTTCATATAAGATTAATGCCGATGTTGGTCGCGAGCTTCTCGCCCGCTGTTTTGACGCTCATTTGGTGTACTGTCCTGGCGACCGTACGTTGGCCACTGTCTCTTCAGATAGTACGATGATGCAGCCCACGGCTAAGGGAGTGGCTGTCGTGTCTAGATTTGTCGCTAAGCTCGGCGTGGCACCGGATAAATGGCCGCTGATCATTACCCTGAACTATAATTCGCTCGCCTTAATCAGTTTCCAACGGAACCCGATTGACGATACGATTTTGCTAAGCCCAAAATTAATTCAGTTGATTTTCTCGTGGATGATGGGACCTCAGCCAAACGTGTGGGACCCGTTTAACCCGCCTGACCCTATTTCTATTCAACTGGCGCACGGTAACTACCCAGGTTTACCCCAGAAAAGACTGCACCTGATGCCACAATCAATCAGCTCTAGCTCTAGTGCAAAGGCTGAGGTGCTGCCGTATCACCACCGCTACTATACCAACCCGGAACTGGACCTGCTAAGCCAGTACTACTCGTCGGCTGCTGGTTTGAGATTGATAAAACATGTAGGTAAAGTAATCCGGTGCTTTTCTGGGAAAGGGATATGCCAATGGCTCATGGATTGTACTGATCTTGACTCTCCTAGACAGGCAGTGGTGATTGCTTCACATATGGTGAATATGGGGTTAATTCAGGCGGTATTAGAGTCTCCGCTGAGACTGGCAGAAGGACAGTTTACTCCTCACCGAAGTTGTTATTACTCCGTTAGTGAGCGTGGTTTGGCAGCGCTTAGATGGGCTCAGCCACCGCTCAATCCGTTTGCTGATTCAATTAAAGGAAACCCTAGTGACGGGTGGATCAAAGCGTATTTTGCTGACGCGTCTCTGGATTTACTGCTTGGACAAGTGCTTGAAGACCCTGGTTTAGCTCAACTTCTCCAACAGTATTTAGACCTAGAATTTGCCGGAGAAAACTTAGAGGCATACACCAAGTTGTGGTGGTTTGAAAGCCGCATCGATAAGCTCGTGAGACTTGTCCAGCGACTGATGATTGAGCCCAAGGCGGTGGTGTCGGCGATCACCGAGTGTAAGCTGACCGCGTTCCAGATCTTTGTGTGCCACATTAGTGACGATCTGCCTTACCCAGTGAACATTGAGCTGAAACTTAAGGCTCGGGTTGCCCGGTTATTTGCCGATCCTGCCCACTTTGACGCTGAAGAAGTGGGTGAGTTTATCCACACGCCTCAGGAGCTTACGTTTGAGGCCGCCGACCAATCACGCCCGCCTCTGTACCTGGAAGAATCGGTCACTGAGGAAGTGTTTGGGCCCATCAACGAAAACCAGTGCGCCTTGTCATTATCGGAATTGGCTTACTTGGCCCGGTTGGCGATGGCGTTTCGGGGAGTGATGAACCACTTGTACCGCGTAATGGAGACCGATAACTTCCCTCGCTTCGTCCAACTATTCAGCATGTAGCATATTCAATATAATACCAAATTACGATAATTTCAATTAAGTGAAATAGTCCGCCGTAAAGAGCTTAAGTTAATGGTTTTTGCTGGATAATATGAAGTTGTGCACTTCAATGCTTAATGAGGTCAGAGATGGAGAAACAAGCAATGAAATGCAATAAAATCATAGAACTACCATTTATCAAAAAGCTCACATGCATTTTTACATGTCTCTCCTTACATCCCTTCTCTTCAAGACTCCTAAGAATGAGATCTAAGTGTATCGTCATAACCGATAAGTTCAGCCATCTAAGCCAATTGAACCAAACAAAGAGAAAGTCCCAAATTCAAGAAGATTAATGCCTTCCTACGTGGCCTATCTATTGGCTGTGAGCCTTCCATTTGCCTTGGCAAAGCTTAAACCATGCTTAGCTGAGCTTAAATCCACATACGCGTTCCTTTTGGTGGTGGAGAGTATACTTATCCCGGGCTCGCAACAGAGGAAAAAACCCTACTGCGACAGCAACCAGCCAGCGCGCCAGCCCCGTTCGCATTCGCCGTAAAAGAAAAAAGCTTCTCCCCAGAAACGTAAAATGCTTCGCCATAAAACATGCGCTTTAGCCCGCACGTTTGCGCGGTGAATGTGTTGGGTAGCTTCCAGGGCAGAGCGTCGACACAAAGTCCGAGCCACACCAGACCATTTGCGCGGGGCCGCGGCGTTTACCTAGCCCCAACCAAATCTGAACCTCACCACAAAAATGCGACCCATTGGGTGACGATAGCCTAGAACGATTCTCCCGGCAACGGCGAGAAACATTTGTATGGACGGTCTGACGTCAAACCCGCTAGTTGGCGAGCTAGCGGCGAGGTTTCACCATCGGGACAACCAGGTAATCGTGTGCGCAGAAGACGAATAAAAACAGCTAGATCTACGGAGATAAGTGTACCTAACGAAAACGCGACGTTTGCCAGCCCTAGTGGTGGGGTTGGCATCGTCCTTGGTGTCGTCGAAGGGGTGTAATCAGCGGACGCCACACAGCGCTCGTTCATTGGCCAGGCGTAGCGCAACCGCCACGGTGGTGAGCCATGCCGCAAGCAGCACCTGGCGAACGACCCCCGACGACATCGTGGCTGGGAACTGGGGGGAAGCGAGAAACCGGGAAAAATTGGTTTGGTGGGGTGAAAATGAAGTGGTGGGACTGGTGCTGATGACGACGACGACAACAACAACAACGACGAGACGTGGGGGCACTGGGCGTTCATTGCTATTGCAGTGGGTTGAGCGACCCCACCCCCGTCGATCACCCACTGTGTGCAGTATTTTGACAATTATATGCAGTATCTACAGTCTACGTCTAATGATAATTTACGATTATATGCAGTACCAACTAGTCACGAGAAATTTGGTCAGTCGCCAACCCTAAGGCTAGCCAGAGCGAGTACAGTAGAAGCACAAACTGTAGACATTGCGCGGGAACCATTAGTAACTATCGGGTGTTAAGCCACCACTGGAGGCGTAGCAGGTGAGCGTGGCTAGTGGCATCGGCCTGAGCAAATAAGTCGGCTGGCAGCGGGCATGGCATCTGGCATCGCTCTAGCATCGCACCACATACTACATCAAGGCAGTCAGCGAAGATGCCTTCCAGGAGGAAAACAGACAAAACTAAAGCATTATGACTTGAATAGAGTTGCTAGAAGATACTATAAGTTTGATAGATATTAAAGTTAGCTGAAATTTATCCCAATCTAAGCCCACCTCGGGAGTATCCCGTTTAGGTATATCGTATACGATGTGTCATATTCACTTCAGATTCTGATGATGTTAGATGTCTCTTTGTTGACACCGTAACGTATATTTTTCTTTCGGCAGTGGTCACACCACCGGGGCCTGACCAATCGCCTACCGCTTGCCAAGCTCTGCTTCCCGATATCCCTTCACCCGTTTCCCCGGATAACGCCTTCGAAAAAGGGTAGCCGCATCGCTACCTCGTTTAGCCGTCCTCGCTTGGCAAACGCCTCGGCCAGAGGCACACCACAGAGGAAGCAATTTATCTCTCTACCTGTCGATGGAGGCCTCGCTAGAGAAGGACGACAAGGCCGGGCTCGACCACCACACCGACGAGGTCGGCTCCGACATCAGCAGCGCTCACTACCAGTACCTTGTCCACCGCCATGGCACCGCGCACTTGGACCCGCTTCCCCAGCCGAGCGATGGCGACCCTTTGAACTGGCCGCTGTTTCAGAAATGGCTCCAGTTGTCGATGGTGGCCTTCCATGGGTTTTTCCTGACGTTTCAAGCGCTGGGGCAAGTGCCTGGTTTTGAACAGTTCTCCGAAGATATGGGAGTCACCATCGAAAGAGCGCTGTATTTAACCCTGGCCCAGATCGTCATTATCGGGTGGATGCCGTGGGTGTGGCTCCCGATCATGAACCGCTACGGACGCCACAAATTGTTGATGGTATCGGTGTTAGGGCTGATGGCGTTCAACATCGGCTCGGTGTTTGCCACCTCGGACTACGGCACCCTCATGGCGCTCAGATGTCTCCTGGCGTTTTTCATATCTCCCGGCATCGCTGTCGGTGGAGCAGTGGTTAAAGAAACGACGTTTGCCCACCAGAGAGCGTCGCGACTGGGGGTATGGGCATTATCAGTAAATATCGGTACCATTGCCGGTCCGATTTTTATGGGGTTTGTCATGCAAAGAATTGCTACCAAGTGGATCTACGTGGTGTTTTCAGCGACTAATTTCGCTCAGTTTGTCGCCTATTTAATTTTTGGACGAGAAACGCTTTATGACCCAAAATCGCAAGTGATAGCTCCCCTAGGAGTATGGCTGAAAGCATGGTGGACATTGAAACCAGTAAGGGACGATAACCCCGTCACCATTGCCAAAATCCTTGCCCCGGCGAAATTGTTCCTCAATTGGCAAGTATTCCTCTGTGCCATTGTGAATTGTGTGTGTTTCACTTATGTCAATATTGCTCCCAATGTCGATTTACCTCAGATCTTTGTCCACAAGTTTCAAATGGGACCGCAGGCGTTAGGGCTCTGTTTTATTGCCTTTTTAATTGGGTTTATCGTCGGCGAACACACGGGCTATTTAAGTGACTGGCTTATGAAAAAGCTGAAAAACCCTAACCCTCGCCAACGCCTTTGGCTCACTTATCCTGGTTTCACCACTGCCATCGTCGGCCTCGTGGTATTTGGCGTGCAGGTGCAAAACTTACACACGTTCAATATCTCTCCCTTGGTGGGGCTTGTCATCGGTCTGTTTGGTCTTCAAATGATTACCACCACGTTAATCGCGTACTGTATCGATTTGGTGCCCAGTCAAGCGTCGGAGGTGGCGCTTTTCCTCACTGCCATCAGACAAACCCACGCATTTGTCGGTCCTTTTTACTTCCCGCCGATGTTCGCGTCGATGGGCTATTTAGGAGCGTTTGGGCTTATGGCAGGTTTAGTCGGAGTCGTGTGGCTCCCCATCATCGCCTTACACATCCTCTACCCGAAGATCCACCACCAGTGACTCGTCACCAACACCTATACTTCTTCCCTGTACATAAACCACCCTCAGAACCATCTTGACGACGTGCGACCATCTAGACGATCTTGTCGATGTCGTCTGACGATCTCATCCCAGACAATAGACACTTAGTTTTCCAGCTACGATTAACAATAGACACTTATTGCAACCAGCACTTCTATGACGTGATGGGGCGTTTACCAGGTGTAATATCCCCAATTGCTAGCTCCACGCCGGTGACGGGCATTTCTAACAATCGGAGGAGGCACGTCGCTGCCTAGTCAGCGGCTAAATAAATGGCAGCAGGCATATCCCGGCTTGTCACCGCCCCACAACTGACACAATTTACATAAACACCGGTTGCTCATAAAACTGAATACAGTGTTTTAATACGTTTAGGGAAGGCATTGTTCCTGACAATGGTCCCGTCAAAAGGATACGTTACTGAATTAATTTCCCCGTCGCGAACCTGCCAGTTTGTGGCTCGATACCCGATGGGATATTGTTTGTCGATGTGAGGGGGTGTAAGCGCGACCTGCACCGTGTACACGAAAATACGCACAATCCAAAAAAATTTGACAAGGTAAACAAGGGGCGCGAGGCTGCCTCTTTGTGGCCGTGTCCCGAGAAGATCCGAGGATGAAGTAGTTGGTAAGCGTGTCTATTAGATGTAGAATACAAAGGAGAGGGCGACGAGGGCTGCCAGAGTCGTATCGCCCATCTTCGAGAAATTATTGTGCCACGGGTTTTTAAGGAGTGACAATGCGAGAACAAAGGGGTGAGCCAATAATATCAGCCACTTTTCACACCGCACAGATAAGCAGCAGCACAAGCACGGTGACGGTGATGATGCCCCACTTCAGCGTCGCCAGCGTGTGGGACCCCGAGGTCAGCGACCCCGGTTTCTGGGCGGTGGTGATGTTATTGGCAAGGGCACTCTCGGTGGTGCCAACACTGGTCATGGCTCGCAAGTCACTGAAGTAGCTCGCCAGTTGCAGCGTCGTGGTAAGCAGCAGCAGCAGCGTGTCGACGAGGATGGCGCCTTGGATGAGCAGCGATTCGAGGGTCGACATGGTTTTTTGGAAGTTAAAGAAACGGATGAGATGAGGCGGTATATATAAGTGTTGAGAGCCATAGACGGGTGAAACAACTCAGGCACCAGGCACATGCCGCCACCGCCAATTCCTGCGGTAGTTCATCATTTATTCACTGCGGAATGTCGACGCAGGGCGTCCTGCGCCGCCGCGTTTTTTTTCGGGGGTGTGTCGATGGCTAGTCGTCATCGTGCAGAGGGGAAGTAAGGGCCAGGGTGTAACTCCTTACCCCCATTAACCTGGTAAAAGATAGTGGCTCTACTGCTTGTATTAACCGAGGAAGATTGCCAATAAAAAAATGATGAGGGCTTAGGAACAAAAAAAAAAAAAAACAATCTGAGGCNACACGCTTTTAGCTTACAGTTTAGACGAAGTTATTGTTTGAAAACAACACCCCCGGGGCGACATGACTAAACGAGGTTAGATGATGGTATGTGGGGTGTGACGGGGTGGTGTCTCGGGATTTAAAAATGGACGCGCGGTACAGGCATAATGCACAACTACATCATCCTGAATATTAAGGTCGACCCTCCCGCGGGTGTTCGTTTGCCTAAGATCTACGGAGGTAAGCGATGTACGAGGCTTAGGCGGCCACCTACACACCACTTAAGGCCACACTACCTATCCCATTGTCACAATTATATGTCCTGCATATAACTCCCAAGGTCGATGCGCGCTGGGAAAAAAGGTTTGTTACCCCCGACAACCATCGCCCTGCCCCCCCCCATCAGCCGTCAGCGCGTGTACTCATTTGGCATGAGCACCGTAAGTCAACAGCGACAGCCGTCCATGGCATCGACTAACCTCCAGGCCGTGTACCCGCACGTGTTTGTCAAGAACCTTGTGGGCAAGCCCATCGTGGTGCGGCTCAAGTGGAACCGCACCGAGTACTCAGGGACGTTGGTGGCGGTCGATAAGTATATGAACCTCCAGATTGAGCTGTGTCACGAACTGGTGCTTCGTGACGGTAAGCGACAATCGGAAGAGCTCGGCGAAGTGTTTGTCCGGTGCAATAACGTGTTGTACATTAGGGGAGCCGAACAACTGTGATCCCAACCTTGTGGTATTGAGCCTAACAGATGAACCTGAGGTCTATCACCAGACTCGTGAGGTGCTCTATTGAGTTTGAGTTGAAATGCTTAATTTGATAATATGGTTTTGGATGACAGTGACTCAATCTTCAATAAATCAGTTGTTGTCAGATGCCTCTTATTGACGGTTTTTTGGTGTATTTATTATCTTCTATCCGAACCATATACAAACGAAAAAAATGAAAGCGAAAACAATGTGAAAACCTTATAATGTAAAAATGAACCCACCAAGTGAAAAACCATCACTTTTAGCACCCCATGAGCTTGTGCTTGGGGAACGTGTAACCCGCCTTCTCAAACGAGGTCAAGTTGACGTTGTAGTAGATGTCCTTGTGCTTGTTGATGTATTCCTGGGTAGGGTAGCCGGGGGGGTCGCAACCAACGTTGATCTGGTCCTTGGGCTGGTACACGCGCACCAGGTCGATGCGGAAGGTGACGGGGAACTTGAGGGCGTTCCAGTCGATGTAGGCCCAGTTGTTCGAGATACCCATGTTCATGATGATCGACATCGGCTCCTTCAGCAACGTCCGCCACCCGATGTTACCGTTTGGATGTAAAGCCCACAGGTGGACCGTCATCGTCGGATCAGGACCAATAAACCATTGGAGGTAACCATTATCCTGGTCGTTTAAGTATTCAAACCCGTAGATCTGAAAATTGTGCGGGCCGTCACCCAATTCGTACCACGTCCAGTTCAAATTGGTAATGGCAGAAATGGCCTGTTGGAAGGGACCCCCGGTATAGGTATTCATCATTGTCACCAGCTTATTGTGCACTTCAACGAAGTCGTAGTCAGGCATGTACCAGATATCATAGGGAGCCACTTGAAGCGACTGCGACGCTTGCCCGATACCGTCACCCATGGCGGCTTCAATGGCATCAATTTCGGGAGCACCACGACCAGTACCAGGGTTAGGGTGGTCTTCACCCTTACAGGTACACAGGTTAAGTCTTTGACCGGGCAAATAGGAGATACCGTCCGGCAGCGACTGGTTGGCGGTGATACCGGCGTCACAGGCTTCGTAGGAGTAAGGCCACACCCCTTCGGTACTGGCTAAGTAACCGGGTCTACCGAGGTTACCCATCGTCCACAAACCGGGCCACAAACCTGACTTATTACCGTAGAAGGGGAGACGAGCACTCACTTCGAATCTCCCTTGAGTGAAGCAGAACTTGTTCCACAGCTGGAGCATACCCGACCGGTAGAACATGTCGTGGTTCTTGAACGCGTCCATTCTCAAGTTGACGGTCCCCTTATCGGTGATGACGGCGTCAGGGTCGTACCATTCCAAATCTTTAGTGGCATCGTAGTGCAAGTCGGGGGCGGTCCAGAACTGGTCGTCGCCTTCGTAGAAAGTACGCCCTTCAGCATTAAACTCGTCGGAGAACACCAATGTCCATTCGGAGCCGTCGCGAGCCTTTTTGGTGAGGTACTCATCAGGAGTATCGGGGTCCACCAATGAGGTACGAATAGCCCCCATAAGCGGGTACAGGTAGTGAGTGAGCACTTCGTAGCGCTGGGGGACAACGTGGTTGCCGACCCCGGAGTAGGTGAACACGGGGATAAGCACGAAAATGGCAACGGCACCGAGCACCATCACCACCAACGCCGAGATGCCGCCAATGACACGACGGTCGGCGGTCTTTAAGTCGTAGATAAACCGGTTCTTTTCGTACTCGGCGTCGGCGACAGGGTCAGGATTATGGAGGTAATCGTCGGGTTCTTTATCGTCGATGTGGAGGGGGAACTGAGTCGCCGGGTAGCCGCCAAACGGCGAGAAATCGGTGTGGGAGATGAACGGGTTGCTCTCGTCGGAGCTCAGGGGGTTTTCGTGCTGGTAGTGCTTCCACTGCAGCGCCAACAGCGTCAGCAGCACCACGCGCAGCCCTTCCATCAGCGGGTAGCGGTCGTACTCGGCGGGGACGTGCAACAGGGGCAGCGCCAGCAGCTGGCGCAAGTACTCGTGGTCGCTGAGCAAGCGGGTGCCGGCGCCCAGCGCCCCGAGCTCGGGGACACTGGGGTACTGGTGCTGGTAGGGTTGGAACGAGAGGCCGTCGTCGTCGTCGTGGGGCAGCGCCAGCGTCAGCCTCAGGTCGGGAGTAGCGCTGCCGAAGCTATCTTGGGGCAACGGCACCGGTCCCTGAGGGTGGCGGATGCCCGACGAGGCCATGGCCGGCACCAGCGCCTGGTGGCTGTCTGAGAACGGGTCGGGGGACCCTCGCGACAGCAGCAGCAGCGCCTGGTCGTTGGCGGCGTCGGTGTGGTGGCGGGAGTTGAACGTCAAATCTCGAGACATCACGGGTAGCCAAGAGTCAGCAGGATAACAGGGGAAACGAGAGGGGGTGCTGCCAAGGCGCGGGAACCGTTTTCTTGGATGGTTGAAGAGAGTATTTCGCCAGCGATCAGTGCGAATCGAGCGGGTCAAAAAAAGAACGAGGCGAAGCGCAGGGCGCGTCTGTTTGGTGCAGAGCCATGGCCCACCTCAGAGCTTATTTGGAGAAGAGGTAAATATACAACTGCCCGGACCACAGACGGGTTATAGGGGAGGGGGGAAAGGTAAACGATGGGCAATAGAGATCGGACAAAAAATAGCGTAGGTCAGGCGGGATCATTCGGATCATTCCCTCGAAGTCTTGGCCCCTAGCGAGCTGCACTGCGCTCGATCTGGCCATGGTGGCTATTGGGTGTCGCTGGCATCACCGCGGGCCACAGGCGTATGGGAGTGTATACAGCAGGCAAAGGCAATTTTCTTTTGCGGTCGTGTGCAGGACGCGTACCTCGCCAACAAGGCGGCCACACTTTTTTTTGTTAGTAGAGAGATGGGTGCAATCCACGCGTCTGCCCCCCTCCTGGAGAGGGGCGTCTCCCTGTTGGGAGCCCCGGGGCGCCATCGACCCAGATGGGAATAATTCAGCACGGCCGTACCCACCCTCATCTATCTCATTGAGGTGGACTCAGGCAGCCCCCCTTGTGCTCGTAGCTAGGCCCGTAGATCGGCCACGTCGCCCGATCATCGCGATCGGCGATTGTCTGCTTGTGGGGACTTATAAGGCAACCACTAAACATGGAGCGGTGTTTAATGCCAGTGGCGCCATAAACCTATATTAATAGTAGTAAAAGTGCCAAGTTTTCATCAGCTGAGAGGTGCTCTACATGACAGCGCCTGCTACTTGCACTGAAACCAAACACCGCAACCACTCGGAAAATCCACTCTATCGGCTAACTAACAAAGAGACATTGAGCGTGTCGTTCCACCTAAACCAAGACAAAAAATCGTCATCTGATTTCTTGTCCAGTATCATTGATAGCATTTAGAGCAATGGAGCCAGTAAACCAAGTCGTCTACGGGGCGCAGTCGCTATCCCCCTCGTGCTAGCTGGATGTCTTGTCGTGAAACTCGCTGATGTTTGATGCTGTTTTCGCCCCACCGCGTACGGCGGAACCGCCATTATTACCTACAGCCAACCCCGCGCCATCGTCTACCAAAAGCCACTGGTTAGACGACACCTCCACGCCTATCTACGAAAGTCTTTTGGGATTACGTTGAAGCTGTTTGCTTGCTATCGCTTCATTACCTGTGGTTGCCGTTTTCTTGGTATCGTTCTCGCCCTGCCACATTGTTTGGTAGGCCCACTCTTGGCATGCGACCACCGGCAAGCGTCAACGAGTTTCCGCCAAGCCTGGCAGGCGAAGTCGTGGAAGAGATATATATAGGCCAGCAGCAGCGGCAGCTATGGGGGTGTTCCGTTCTGTCAAATAAGGTAAGCGTGTGATCTTGGTGCCTGCAGTGGATGTTCACCCGCAACTTGACCCACACCTCCAGCAGCGACACCCTGGCCCAGCTGCTGGTGGAGAACCCGTTCCAGCCGGAGGAAGAGCATGAAAGGTTGATCCCAAATGACCAGAACAATCTTCAAAATAGCTACCCTAATAGCTACCAAAACAGCTACCACAATGGAGACAGTCGCTACCCTAGTGGCTACCAGAATGGAGACAGTCGCTACCCTAGTGGCTACCACAATAGAGATACGAGTGGTTATCCCAGCAGTGGGCTGGGGAGCTCTGAATCGCCCGATTTCAATCGACCGCTGCTGTCAGGCTCATTATTGCCTCCCCAACGACCAGACCATCAACGGTGGCTGGCGTCCCCCTCAATCGCTTATGACCCTGACTCGCTGCCGTTTGGTGGCTACCCCGCCCACCAATTCCCTCTAAGCATCGAAGATAAAGAACCCGATGACTACTTACACAATCCTGACCCTGTGGCTGATGCTGAATACGATAAAAACCGGTTCTGGTACGATTTGAAGACGATGGATACTAAGCTGAGGAACGCCGCCATCGCCTTCGTGGGGATGATACTCGCCGCAGTAGCAGTGTTTGTGCTTATTCCCGTGTTTACTTATTCTGGGGTCGGTGCCAAAATTGTCCCTCAACGTTATGAAGTGCTTACTCTCTATCAATACCCACTTATGGGTGGGCTCCGCACGTCGCTTATTGACCCTGATACTCCTCAAGAATACATGACCAAAAAGGCTCAAGATGGCTCCGACTGGACGCTTGTATTCTCCGACGAGTTCAATGCTGAAGGGCGTACTTTTTACGACGGTGATGATCAATTCTGGCAGGCAGTCGACTTACACTACGACGCCACTAAGGATTTGGAGTGGTACGACCCTGACGCTGCCACCACTGCTGAAGGCACGTTAAACTTACGGATGGACGCATTCAAAAACCACGATATGTTCTACCGGTCAGGGATGGTACAACTGTGGAACAAAATGTGTTTTACTCAGGGCCACATTGAGATCTCCGCCCGCTTACCTAACTACGGTAACATTTCTGGGTTATGGCCGGGTTTATGGACGATGGGCAATTTGGGTAGACCGGGCTATTTAGCCACTACCGACGGGGTATGGCCCTATACGTACGAGTCGTGCGATGCTGGTATCACCGCCAACCAATCACTGCCTGATGGTATTTCCTTCCTTCCTGGCCAAAGACTTAATCTGTGTACCTGTAAAGGTGAACTGCACCCTAACCCTGGTACTGGCCGTGGTGCTCCTGAAATCGATATTTTAGAAGGGGAAATCCACGAAGAGAACGGTCGGGTCTCTCAACTGTACCAGGTAGCTCCCTATGACATTTGGTACATGCCTGACTACGAGTTCGTCGAGATCCACAATAAGCTGGTGACGGTGATGAATACCTACGCTGGTGGCCCCTTTCAGCAAGCGATCTCGGCGGTGACCCGGCTCAACCGGTCGTGGTACGAGTTTGGCGATGGCCCTCATCACTTCCAGACGTATGCGTTTGAGTATCTCCACGATAACGACGACGGCTACATCACGTGGTTCGTGGGGCAAGACCCGACGATGACGATGAGAGCTAAAGCCCTCCACCCTAACGGCAATGTCGGCTGGCGGCGCATCTCCAAGGAGCCGATGCTGGTGATTATGAACTTGGGGATCTCCAACAACTGGGCCTACATCGACTGGAACGGGCTCAACTTCCCTGCCACCCACCGGATCGACTACGTCCGCATCTACCAGCCTAAAGACCAGATCAATACCGGCTGTGACCCTACGGACTACCCGACGCAAAACTACATTCAGGCCCACCCCGACATCTACTCTAATGTCAACTTGACGCTGTTCACCAAAGCCGGCTATCCGTGGCCCAAAAATAGTCTTCTTGGGTGCGAATGATCCCTTACGCAAACACATGTATTATACTCCACAGCATTTTTTAACCTCCTCAATCGGAAACTGGCACTACGGTCTCCCCCAATATTTTTGAAAATTGGCGTAGACGCGAGTCTTGGATCTCACCACGGTTGTCAGTTGCTGTTATTGACTATTTCTCTATTCTTGACGTGACGCGTACCTGTGGTTGCTTTTCGCAACCGCGCTGCACCAATTGAATTTACGAAGGGCCCCCCATAGCCCTGTCTCTATGGTTAATGACACATGATAAGCTTCTAAAATTAGACCCACTGGTGGTTAGATTACCTGGGGTAAAAAAAAAAACTGAATAATGGATAATATTTGTTTGTAGTATGTTTGCTGATCCCATTTCAGGTTTATACTTCGCAAATTGGCGCTTCGGTTGCTGGCGCATGACCCGGTGCCAAACCGAGTCTACCGTGGACGTGACAACTGGTTAGGTTCCCGGTTGGGTCCCCGAGTTAGGTTCCCGGTTAGCATCCCTCCATATTTTCGAGGATGAGTGCATGAGAGGATCATGGCACCACAACCTGGTACAAACAAGAAAATATGACCTTTGGCTGTGGTTGGTAATGGCAACGGAAATAACCCGTAAGCTTAATTGAGCCATTGTCAAAACCAGGCGAAGCAACTATTTACAGTAAGCATCAACAACAAATTATTTTATTTCCAATTCTTCTCACATATGGTTAAGAAATTCTATCTACACAATGGCTAACAATTTCTCAGCCTACAATGATAAATACAAATTAAATGGATCGGATTTAGATTGAGGATATCCAGGTGTGCCAGCAGATTGATATTAAAATCACTTGGAAGTGACGTTGAACCATAATAGAACACTTTCAATCGTCATACGAGGTTTATAGTGGTACAAGCCCCGACCGATGATAATGCCAATGGGCCAAGGGTAGCCTCAACCCTACTACAATTTCCTATCATTTTCTGTCTATTCGTTACCATTAGCGACTAAAAGCGATGTCGTCGATGCGCAAGATCGATTTGCAGCACTCCAGCGCCAACGTCACCGCCAGCGTCAGCACCAACGCCGGCTGCAACACGTGCTCGTCGTAGGTGTTGGAGGCCCCCAGCCGTTTAATTGAAACACCAGCATTCTTCTCACCCATGGCGTGACGATTACGGAGATCGGTGACCACGGCAATCGGGTTTAAACCGGCGTTTTCCGCCAATGTGGTGGGGATCACCATCATCGCGTTGGCAAACTCTTGCCACACAAACTGTTCAACCCCCAGCAACTTGTGCAGTTCTGAGGTGAGAATGCGAGCCACTTCAATTTCAGGGGCACCACCACCGGCGATAAGCGCCGGCTGCTTCACGAGACAGCGCACCACACAGAGGGCGTCGTGGAGCGACCGTTCGGTTTCGTCCAATACCATCTGGTTATTACCTCTAACAACAATCAGCACCGTAGGTTTAGTATTCTTTTGCGGGATGCCAGTGATAGTAACAATCTTCAGCGAAAACACGTCCTGTTCTTCAATCACATCGGCGTGGCCTAACCGGTCTTCGGTGAACGAATCGATATCGGCCACAGGCTTACACCCGAGGGCTTTGCTTAAGAATTCCACTTCGTCACGCTCGATATCTTTAACCACCATGATGTTGAGTTTAGCCAAAAAGTGGAGGGCTAAGTCGTTGACGGCATCACGCAAGATCAGCTTTTGGATTAACAACACATTGCACTTAGTCTTCTTGATCTTCTTACAGATGTTGAGCAAGTAGGCTCTTTCTTCCTTGAGGATTTTATCCATTTGGCGGTAGTCGTTGACGACGACGTTATTTTCCATATCCGGTTTAGGCGGACTCAATTGGAACTGGACAAGCCCGATGCGAGCTTTTTCCACTCGAGTAGGGCCACCAGCGGATTTAACCACCGTCTGATTAAGCACCACGCCGTCGATCATCTGAGTATCGTCGATGGTACCACCAATACGCTTGACTAAGCGGATATCGTTTAAGTCCACCGACAGTTCCTGGCGCACTTTAAGCACCGAGTCGACCGCCAACGGCGCTAAGAACAGCGAGAACTGGTTGACCACTTTCGACAGTAATGACGTCAGCGCCGCTTTCATTAACACCTCGCGGTCATCGAGGCTGATCTTGGTGGCAATGGCCAAAATCACTTCGCAGGCACGCTGGGCGGCTCGCTGAAACAGCTCGGCAATTAAAGTCGGGTGGATCCCTTTGTTAAGCAATCTCTCGGCGGCACCAAGCAACAGCCCCGTCAAAATCGCCACTGAGGTGGTACCGTCACCGGCCTCGATATCCTGAGCGTGGGACACGTCAACAAGCATCCGGGCCGCCGGGTGGAGCACCGCCATTTCCCTTAAGATGGTAGCGCCGTCGTTAGAGATGATGATCTGGCCGTTCTTGGTTTTGATCATCTTGTCCATCCCCTTGGGGCCCAACAGGGTGCGGATGGCGTCCAGCACGGCACGGGCGGCGAGGATGTTCAGCTTGCGCACCTCCTGCGGCTTCTCCTTGTCCTTGAATGGGGCGGGGGCAGCGACAGCCATGGGGGTTGTATTGGTGGTTAAAGGGTTAAGGAGTGGAGCGCTCAGTGAAAAAGTCTCCCCCGATGCGCGCGGCCCCCTCGGGACTAGGGGGGGAGTAAATTTGGTAAACAGAGAGGAGATATGGGTATTGTAAGAGTATATTTGGATTAATTGATGGTTTTTATAGTTGGTGTGAAGTTCTTGTTAAATTTGAGCCAGTATTGGTGAAGTTAAGGGGTAGGTCATCTTTAGAGTAAGGGTGAGAGTAAGGGTGAGGGCTGAAATAAAGTAATGACGTGATTTTCAAGAAGATTGACTTTTGAAACCAATCAATTTGTTTTTTTAAGATTATAGTTAATTTGCTGTTGGTCAGGAATTAGTCAATTGACTGAAATCAAGCGTAAATCAACTACTATTCAGTGATGATGGGTGCGATGATAGCTACGATCAAAGGGTAGATCGATCACCTTCCACCAGCTTCGATTCAAAAGGAAAGTAACATCTTTGAATCAATTGACTATACAATAAACGAAAAATACAATGCTGATTTTGTTTCACAGTCTCCTACACTTTTTTTTCAGCACGTTCATCTTCTGTCTACGAAATCGATGACGTGCTTTCAAACACACCACCACGAAAAAGCCAATCGAATCAGTCGAAGTGGAAAGAACGTTTAATCAAACACCATTACTAAGCGTGTAGTTTATACTTAATGACCATCGCTCGCACCATCTCATCTTTTAGATCTTCCCCTCATTCCCCATACTCATACCCAAATACCTACCTAATGACAACTACAGCCGTGTTCCACCAGCTACCGGTGACTCGAGACGAAGTGCTTGCGTGTTCATTTGACCAGTGGTACCCCAAATTAAAGGCGTACACGCCGGCGCTGAAGATCATCGCCATCCCTCCCGATTTCCATAGGTTCCTCGACCAGGACCTGATTAGGCTTCCTGGCGACGCCAATAACAAAGTGGAGGAGGTAGACGATAGCGACGATGAAACCACTCAACAAGATGTGTGGCTGGATGAGCTTATCGACTTCTATAACCAGGTTAATTCGCTTGTGGGTGACTTCCCCTTCCCCAAGCTTAACTGGCTGGCACCGAAAGATGCTCGTTGGATCAATGCTAATACGCTTAGATGCCACTCTGCTGATGATGTCCTACTTCTTTTAAAGCTGAGTGACCACGCTGGAGACGATTTAACTGCCCCTTTCTCGGAAGTTTCAGAAGGTGAAGATAAACTGATTGATACGGTTCTGTTCAAGCTTATACTAAGACGGTGGGTGGATATCAACCCGCTGCACGAGTTCCGAGTGTTTATTCGTGATGGAACCATCATTGGCGCCAGTCAGCGTGATTTGAACCACTACCCTCATCTCGTGGAAAATCGGGAGAAACACAAGCAAACCATCACCAATTTTGTTCCTAATATTGTCAACAAGTTGGGGATGAAGCTGTTTGTGTTAGACTTGTATATTCCAGAAACTGGCGAGCCTATGGTCATCGACGTTAATCCGTTTCTGAGGAAACTGCTGCCTCTTTTGTATACGTGGCACGAATTGATTGAAGGTGGTGACCACGATTTACGAGTGGTCGATGAAAATAACCTTGGTCGGTTTAAAACGATGGAATACCTGGAACTGATGGTCCCCACTGATGTCGTTGGTGCTGCTCACGATGCCGAACAAATGGCCGAATTGGCCCGAGAATGGCGCCAACTAGAACAACGAGGCGAGGAAGCAGCCAAGGAATGAGCCTGTGTAAATTATGAAGCCATCTACCTACGTCATGGTTTTATTTACAATTGCCATCTATCAATCCATGAGATGAGCACTCAAGACCTATCTTACAGTCTAAGACTTGAATAGCATCTACACCTAATAGAATTTACAATTCAAATCAACGTTGCTGAGTTTCATATTTCAGTAGGGGTTGTCTCCATCAGGTTATATACAGGTCACGTGACACCCCTCATTTATCTTATCGCACCGCACCCTTCCATCGACCCCTCCCCTCCTTTTATCCATTGAAAATATATATAAAACCATGGTTTCCCAAGCCACCACCAGGGCCACACCCTCAGATTACCGCGGCGAGCTTGTCGAGGGGGTCAAATACGACGGGCGCAACCACCTGCTTTTGTGGGTCGACATCAAACGGGGCGAAATCCACCGGTGTCTCCTCGACCCCGACGAGGACTACAAACTCAATTGGCTGGCCCACGAGGTGATCACGCTCCGTGACCCGAACGATAGTGTTGGTTTCATCGGTCTTACTACGAGTGTTGATACCGTGGTGGCTTGTTGCAAGTACGGCGTCGGAGTGGCCAATTTCCTTACCGGTACCTTTGACTACCGGTTTAAGTACCCGCACGACCAGACCCGGTTGCGGAGTAATGATGGAGTAATCGATGCTCAAGGGAACTTGTGGATCGGGACGATGACTGATTTCCCCTATGAGGACCTGATGACTGATGAAGGCCGAGTATATCGCATTACTCCTCATTTTGATAAGTGCGATGTGGTAGTGCCCAATATCAAGATCCCCAATGGAATGGCGGTCAAAGATAATAAGTTATTCGTTACCGATCTGAAACAGTTCCGTATGGTCACCTATGACTTGCTGGAAACATCAACATCCACCCCTCCAAAGCCACAAGTGTTCTTTGACTTCTCACTGAAGTATCCGGGAGGAGAGCCCGATGGCATGGCCTATGACGAGCTGGGGCTTTATAGTGCGGTGTGGGGACACGGAAAAGTTGCTCACTATTCGTGGCAAGGCCAATTCATCGAGGATTTCGATATCCCGTCTCCTTTAACCACCTGTGTTGGTGGCCAAGGGTACGTGACCACGGCCCACCCCACGCTTGCCGGTAAAGCTGATGATGGCCAGGGAGGTAGTATTTTCCATATTCCTCGTGTCATCAACCAGCAATTGCATTACTGGCACATATAGATAGTATCATAAGGTTATGACAGACTTTGTAGATGGTCGAGCACTGCCTCGACGAAATCTTCCACTTCGGCGTTAGCCTCGGCGCCTCCTTCTCTTAATGCGGTAAGTTTCAATTTGGCCACGTCCATTTGACGGCCAGGAAGATCGGTGATGGGCCGATTAATGATTTCAAGTAACGTCACCAAATGGAATTGGAGGGTGGGCAGTTTGAGCATTTCGATGATTTGAGGTGGTAACAGCTGAATGAATTGAGTCTTTTCGTCGTCATCAGCTCTTGTAGTCGTACTCTGGTCTTGACTTCCTATTTGGGAAGGTGACGCCGCGAGTTCACTTTTCGATGGCTGCTCCACACTCGCCTCTGTTGTCACTTCCTTATGGTCATGAGCCTTATAACACGCCACCAGACAGTATCTCACCCCACACTTGCACCGGTACTTGGCCTCTTGGCCACATATACACAACGGCATTCCTCTCTCTCTCTCTATGTCTTTGCGATGCGATGAGATGGCACGAGGCTAAGGGCGAGAGTGGTAGTGCATATTAGCTTAGTGACGGCCGCGACATTCAGGCAGATGGCACAGGCCCAGGCACAGTGATAATAGCAGTATTTGGGGGCAATTGTTGGTGGCGTGTGTGTAGCCACTACCTGCAGTACGCACTGCGGGTTATCTCACTAGACATCGTAGTAGCTGTTAGCGCCTAGTGCCTAGTAAAACTCCCTCGGGCCATGCAAACGCCCACTGCAAATGACCCTGCAAACGGCCACTGCAATCGGACACTGCAATCTACGGCATCGTACGATTGCATGAAACGGTGACCACCAGTACTACTAGAGTTTTGCTGGCTTCGGTGATATTAACCCGATTGGGACAAAGCCCTTTGTCTGAACCATAAATGCCTTCTCACTTTCGTGCGGCACTGTTTCAATAATTAGTGGTGCTTTTTGCGCTACCGATTAAGTGCTGCGGTGTAGGGTGTGGGTGGCGGGCGCTGGGTGACAGTGGTCGTGGAGGGGGGTGCTGTCTCCTGCACACAGTGCCAAGAATGCCAGTGGGCGATGCAGGTGGAAGTAAATAGAATAGCAAAAGAAAAAAGAAACTATGAGATCATCATATATCAAAAAAAAAAAAAAAAAAAAAAAAAAAAAATTCCGGTCATGGGCCAGCGCCAAGCGGGACCACACCCACAGTAAATAGTCTTTGGCAAACAAAAATAAAATTCTGGACAAGGGCTCGTAACACGCGAACCAGACGCTGCGTCTGCTAGCACAATACTCTTTTACAAGCGCTATTGCTTTTAGAGGTCATCCCCCGTGCGAATTAGCCATTTTCATCATCAAAGTCTATAGCCAACACTTGATCAACCGTGATCACTACAAGTCAAACCTTAACTCTCTTGCGTACTCCCCATAATTCTCAGGAGTTCGATTGGTTCAGATCGGGACCAGAGGAGGCATCCGTCTGCGGCTGCAAGGTGAAGCCGCTGCGGGCCTGCCTAAGCCCCGATAGCGAATTCTGCGTCGGCCACCGCCGACACTAGTCCAGCTAGCACGACTACCAAAAATCGCACCAAAATACCCTACGAAATGATTCGACTAAAATGAATTGATTTTTATGAATTGATATTATAATGTATTAGTCTGATGATGATTTATTAAATGCTGGGGTCGTTAGTCGTCACTATGGGAGATGCAAAAGATGCTAATAGTACCCTGTGGGAGCAACCCACTGGGGCTTGGCGATGTCGCTCGGGGGCGTGAGCGGGTACGAGAGGTATGGGTGCGGGTGCGAGTGCGAGTGCGGGTGCGGGTGCGAGTACGGTTGAGGGGGGAGGTAC